ATATATATTTTTTTTTTTTTTTTTATGTACCTGTTATAGAAAGTAATCCCACGCAACAATATATCAAACCTGCATGACTCTCGGACCCCGGTTTCGAACCGAACGCCCCATCAAAATTCATACACTTCAATATGAATTCTACCGCTTTATCGATGTTTATCGCATCCAAGCGATTCTGAAAAGAGGCAATTCTAATACAAGATGCTCTGATATTAAAGTACATCAGCAAAAAGCACTCGACACAATAGTTACCAAAAGCGATAAAGTAGCGACAGCACAGAATGAAAATCTGACGTCCACTTCTCCCCAATAATCACCCGTGAAACTTCCATCCGGCTGCTGCCTCTCTCTGACATATTTTACAACTTTCTCGACATCTATCACATCCAGTGCATCGTAAATGCACAATATCTGAATGGCACTGAGCGTATAAAGTAAATGTGGATCGTGCCGCACACTGGCACTGATGCCACCACAGTCACTTTGACATTGACCAATAAATTCTAATACCCGTTGCTTATCAGCTTTTTCTAACTTTCCCATTACATCTAGCGCAGTAAGGCCCCAATACATGCCAGACATCCTCATATGCTCTGTCATACAGTAAGTCTGAAAAGCAAATAAATCTTGGGAGACTGCTACAAAATAAAATGTCAATCAACAATCTAGGTATATTTTTCTTGATACATCTGTATATGTAAAAATAAAGAACATTAAGCTCTTACATATTCATCTTTATCACTTTCATAAGAGATGAGATACTGGACATGTTTTTCCAGTAATAATTCTGGGATTTTGTTGGGTAGTACAATATCATGCTTCAATGTCGTCTATAAAGAAAACATGATTAAATAATATATTATTATGATGATTCATTTGCATTAATATAAGAGGCCTGTTATTTTTAGCTGAACTAGTGATGCACTGGAACTGCTTCTTTTTCCTTCAATATTAGATTGTACATTTGTTTTATTCTAAAGGTATAAAGTATAACCTAGCTCAACCAAAAAAAAATATATTTACACAAAAGTGGCATGTGACAAATAGGACGTATGACTTTATTTTGTTTCTACATTATAGATATATAATTCTACAACTACTGTATGGCATATATCTAGTAGAGTTTTTCATTAATAATCCAACAGACTAAACTCACCATTTTTGCAGTTGTTGCGTCATCAACACGATGATTATGAATTATGTTTGTATATAACCTACTTATTCCGAGTGACTTTGAATCGAGAATTTTATCCTAGACTTTTAACTTGTGAGTTCCAGGTTAAGAAATTGCATGGTAAATCTTCGGTATACAGTTATCTCATTGATTTTTTTAAACTCACATAACTGCTATTGTAATAAGTAACTAACGTAAGTATCGATGTAACTGCAGCGCGATGAATAGTGACAACTGAAGATGGACGATGTTTGGCCGATCTCTCTCTCTCTCAATACATGACTTCAGGCGCCTACAAGCGTCAATGGCTTGGTTTACATCGTGCACTTGAGGCTGCGTTCGGAAACGTCACTCGAATACTCTTCCTCTCTTTTTATCTCACTCTTGTATCTCGCTCACTCCAACGTAACGGGTACACTTGGGTGACGTTTCCAAACGCAGCCTGATACATGTACTAAATAGTAACTTTCTATTAGATAATCTTAATATCAACAATGCATATCAATGGCGACGCATTTAATCAATACAATACATTTTGTTGATGAATATTATATCAGTAATATACCGTTGTTTATATATATCGTCGATATTAGGATTATCTAATAGAAAGTTACTATTTAGTACGCGTATCAAGTGCACGATATAAACCAAGGTTGCTTTCCAACAAGAGACACAAGTCGACACAAACATCATTCTATCTTTCTTCCACATTTAGTGAGTAACAAAGATAGGATGATACTTGTGTCTCTTGTTGGAAAGCAACCCAAGCCAATGTAGACCGGGGGTACAGATGTCTATACTAAACTAGATTGCTAACAAGGGTTCGAACGTGCGTCGCGTAAAGTTTCCGGTTGCATGCGAGAAAATTATGGCGGTCCTATGTATGTGATGTGTGCAGGGTTGGGTTTTTCGAGCATTTTCTAAGGTTTTTTACATTATACGGTAAAATACGTATAATACGTATAAAAACGCATAAAACGTGTAATATCTAGGATTGATACAAAATGTTCATTTTTCATTGATCTTCATTGATCGCATTGATCTTCAGATTCTACTTGAAAGTATACACCAATCAGATCCACGATCAGTAATGTCGCTTACCGAGCGCTTTTTCCGGTGAACGTGGCAGTGAATAGTGGATGCATTCAGCGAACTCAACAGTTGCACAACAGTTGAACAATTCACTGCCACGTTCACCGGAAAAAGCGCTCAGTGAGCAATCAGCGATTATTGGTTCTTACTGTTAGATCTCTAAATCTAGACCAATTACATTGACGAATTACTCAACTGTTGTGCAACTTTTGAGTTCGCTGAACGTACCCAATGTAATTGGTCTAGATTTAGAGATCTAGCAGTAAGAACCAATAATCGCTGATTGCTCACTGAGCGCTTTTTCCTTTGACTATGGGCGCATTCAGTAGAAAAAGCGCTCAGTGAGCAATCAACGATTATTGGTTCTTGCTATTAGATCCCTAAATCTAGACCAATTACATTGACAAATTACTCAACTGTTGTGCAACTGTTGAGTATGCTGAATGCAGCCTATATAACTATGGACCGCTAGCCGCTATCTTAGGGTGTATATCAGTTGGACACGGGGCAATTGGACACAGTCCAATCACAAGTCGTTGTTCCAAGGGACCCTACAAATATCTCTAATCACACGGTGCTGTGATTGGCTGTGTCCAAATGCACCGTGTCCAAGTGCACCGCTCCCTATTAGAAGCGTGTTAACTCTGTTTTGCTTTACTGAGTTCCTTCTTTTGTCCTTTGTTTGGTCCTGGTGGCGCTACAGATGTTGACAGACGCTTAAGGCCATCACACACAAAATTCCGTAAGAACTTAAATCGTAAGCGTAAGGAAATCGACCAATCCCAATCGAGTATTCGGCTCTTCGTAATAATGGAAGGGTTACGAAGAGCCGAGTGCTCGATTGGTCGATTTCTTTACACTTACGTTTTAAGTTCTTACGGAATTTTGTGTGTGATGGCCTTTATGGCTTCTGCACACAGGACGCGGTAATGCTTACCGCGCGACGGAAGTTCGCGCGACAGCCAATCAATATGTTGTTTTTCCGTAAGAGCTAGAAGGTTATTACGGAAAGCAGCATATTGATTGGCTGTCGCGCGAACTTCCGCCGCGCGGCAAGCATTACCGCGTCGTGTGTGAAGGAGCCATTAGAATCGCCGCTAGCGGTCCATGGTTATATAGTCAAATGGCTTCTGCACACAAGACGCGGTAATGCTTGCCGCGCGGCGGAAGTTCGCGCGACAGCCAATCAATATGTTGTTTTTCCGTAAGAGCTAGAAGGTTATTACGGAAAGCAGCATATTGATTGGCTGTCGCGCGGCAAGCATTACCGCGTCCTGTGTGCAGGAGCCAAAAGGCTTTTTCCGCTAACGCGCATAATAACGTCCGTTATCATATGTTTCATGATCGATGCTGCGCCGCAGCATTTTCGAACGCGGGCAAGCGCGTACGAGCGTGTTTTTGTGATGCAATCGACAGCTCTGAGAGACTTTCTGATGTTGTAGATAACGAAAAAAGGTGTATAACAAGATTAAATCGAACGTATTACAATGCTTGATAACATCTGCGATTGTTGTCGAGCCATCGTCGTTGCACGGAGAGCGTAACGCCGAATAAAGTGAAAATTCTTGCGCGTATCAGAAATGCTTCGTTATCGCGACAGGTTTGAAGTGTCATAGTCGAATGTTCAAAGAACAAACGTTCTTTCAGCCAATTAAATGTATATTAACGACCGCGCGAGAGTTATTTTATATACTATTTGGGAGCTCGTAACCTGCTGTTACGTTGATCCTTCGCCCTAGACTTGTCGACGTGTCTCACGCAAAGCCACCTCCGATGTTTGACAGTTCCGAGCGCGGAGGCTGGGACGTAGACATCGCGTGACTTGCTACTTCGAAACGGTGACGACTCGGCCGCGTTCGGTGTTAAGCATGTACGTATCGGTCGCGAACTCAATCCTGCAATTTTCTACGAGCGCGCCAGTGTTTAACTGTCTGCTTCTCTTCTGTCAACAGGAACAAATCCGTGGAGAACCTATTGATATCTAGTCACGAAGTAATCAGTAGCATCAATTCTTCCAGCTTAGGTAATCAAGGTTCTACGACAAATTTAGGAAACGCGCCGTCCACGGAAAACGTTCAAGAAACTCTTTCTGGCTCTGGTGCTGAGCGTAACAGTCCTGTGTCCAGTCCTAATTTATCCCCGCGTCCTAGCCCAAGAGCCTACAATAGACGAGAATATTCCAGGTTAAATTCTGATTCTGCCAAAGAATCACTTCGCGTAAACAAGTCGGAGGATCAGCTGTCATCTCAGGTATGCATGATTCTAAGATCAGAATTCACACAAGACATTTGTAGGAAAGCACTTGCAACTTGTATCAAACAACAACAAGAAATCAATTTATCTCGTTTAAAGTTTACTTAGTTTTTAATTACATCCTCAAGTGTCCTAAATATTAGAAATCATTATCACTATATGGTATTCTGAGAAAGAAACCAAGTGTAATTATTTTATCTGAAAATATATAGGATCAGATCAACAGATCGTCTGATTCAACCGAGCTTAGTAAAAGCTCAGCTCACGAGGGTAAAAAAGAGACACGTGGCAGTGATAGGAGTAAGAAGAAATCGTCATGGTATAACGTGCTCTATCCAACTTACAAGTCTCGTTCTGAGGACTTTAAGCGAATATTCAAAGACGTGCCTGATGACGAGAGGTTGGTGGTAGGTGTGTACTTTAAGAGTGTTTCTTTTACCCTCTGGCTCCCTAATACTAGAGAATGTATCATGCTGTACTTGATCGCTTGCGAATTAGTTTTGCCAAACTAACTCTTGACATCTGTTGCATCCATATTAGAATATGTAAAACCAATTATGTAACATTCTGTTAACGATTTAATTAATCTGGCGTTATGACTTTTAGATTATTCTTGTGCTCTGCAGCGTGAAATATTGGTACACGGTAGACTTTATGTATCTCAAAACTATGTGTGCTTTTATGCTAATATATTTATGTGGGAGACACTGGTCTCCTTACGTTGGAAAGACGTTACATCTATTACCAAAGAAAAAACTGCGCTTGTCATTCCAAATGCTATCCTGATATGCACCGTTACTGACAAGTTCTTCCTAACATCGTTTGGAGCGAGAGATAAAACATATGTGATGTTATTTCGTGTTTGGCAAAATGCTCTCATTGGCGAGGTATGCATACACCGTATTTAACTAACTCGAGTTTTCATTGCGCTTACGAAAAAATATCCTTAATCTCAGCACAGATTTGCAAATAAAACATTACTTTCTGTTATGGAAAGTTATCTCACTTTTCACTGGAATATTATTAAACATAGTTGCCATAGAGTTGAATTCGAAGATAGCTAGTCTCTTCCATGCAAATCGATGTAGAAATAGATTTTGCTAAAGATAAAAACTCGCAAAAATCTCATTCAAATTATACGTGCTACTTATAATAAGAAATTTTGGTATTTTTCAGCCTATGAGTATGGCTGAAATGTGGCAGCTTGTGCACGCTTGTTACGGTGACGAATTAGGCTTGACGTCCGACGACGAAGATTACGTGCCACCGTTGCCCGCGGCGGATGAGGAAAAGTTGGCGACTCGTTTCTCCGTAGAATCTTTTTCTGAAGTAAGAAAACAATTTTGCTCGTTTTAGCTGAATTAGATTGCATGTTTTTTTCGCTTTAGATTGAAACAAGTGTGTAGCTTAGCTTTGAAAAAAGAACAAAGTGCAGCACTGATTAAGCTAAAAAAGAATAAGCCTAATATATTTCTTAATAGAACATGAAGCACTTCTGATTATATTATTATTTTGTATTCGATAAAAATGAAGAACGAGGGAGTCACCATAGAAAATACCGCAACTCCAGCCGTAGAGTCCGTTCCTGCTGAGCCTGCTGAACCGCAGCAAACTCAGCTACCGCCGATTCAGCCGCCTCCGCCACTGCCCAGATCGGAACCTGTTCTTGATGCAACGGATTTAAGCGACACGACAGAAAGCGAAGCTGAAAAGCACGGCCGTAAGTATTTCTTTTTGTGTATTTCACAAATATCATTTTAATTCTCTTAATCGCGAGGAGGAATTCCATTCTCGAATAATGGAATACATTTATTAATCGTTCCATTAACGTTCAGTTTATTTTTACTAATACAGATCATCGCTATAACATATACATTGTAATATGAAAAGGAACACATGATACATTTACTTCGATTAGCCATCTATGGAACACAGCAGTCTTGACCTGAAAATATATAAACGCTACGTTCTGTTAAGTTACATGCGACAGCACATAACACAGTGATAATGCTTGTTCCAGTGAAAATAAACATACGGAGCTCTACGGTCTGTACTTCCCTGCATGAAGGTCGGCAAGTTAACAAAGCGACATTGCCTATTCACATCGACCAGCTGTTTACCTTACTCTTCACAAATTCGAAATTCTTCCTAGATTTTCATACTGCCCGCAAGACCACCGGTAACACAATAATGAAGATTCTGTTGCATTTATCGTAAAAGAATAGATTAATTTTAGTCACTTTTAAGTATAATTCAAGGACTTTCTCGTAAATTGTCTCAAATCTATAAAAAAAAAGACATTAAAAATTGTCATGAAACTTCTCTGTACTAAAAATTTCCACTTTTCTTCCTTTTAATTAAAAATATAGGTTTGAGACAATCCGAGGGAAACAAGTTTTTTTTTTATTCACGATGACATATGTGATAACGCATCACATAATATCGCGTGCGTGTGTGTGCGATTTTGTGATTAATATAAATTAATGTTTTCCTATCGTCCGTTTCTCTAATATACTCTTGATTTAGATTTGATACAGTCTGCATGGACACAAAACAATCAAACTGATCAGAAGATGAGAACGCTTTCGTACACGATATCCTTGACTCATTCTATTGGCCCAAGGACCTGCCATGTTACGGAGACACAAGTAACAGCAAAGTTTTATCTTAATAACGATTCAACCCCTCGATTGTTATGTGTATTATACGTATTCTAAGTAGGATATTTATTCCATGTAGGTGATGCTACCATGCAGTAGGCCAGGTCACCTTTATTGCATCGATGTAGAGAGCGCTAACGCTGGCATACCCTATGCCGATTCCTTCAGCGTTTTTACGCATTATTGTATAAACAGTATTTCCGAAAACGAGACAAGTCTCACGATTTTCTCGCAGATCAAGTACAAAAAGAGTGTGTGGGGTTTCATGAAAAGTAAGTGTAGAATTGCATCATGATAAAAAGGGTGTTACGAGTCGAAGGAATATTTTTTAGATAATTATAATAAACTGGGATATGTGTGTGTGTGTAAAAGGTAAATTTTCTGGTATTATGTGTATATGTGTGTAACGCTATTCTCGACCATATTCTGCAAGCAAAAACGATACAACATGAACGAGTCGAGTGACCAACTAACGAATTTTGTTTCGTACAAAACAGATGTGATTGAGAAGAATTGTTGGTCAGGCTTAGAAGAGTATTTTATTAGTTTAATAAAGGCGTTGTCGGTGGAATGTGAAGAAGGTAGTGGAAGCGGAGGGAAACGAAAAACGAGGAAACGACGACGTGCGACGGGCGTTGTGGTGCAAACTCATCCTTCCGAACATATAGCTGCAAATCATCAAATTTCTCCTTCCAATTCGCCGCATGCTCACGGTAAATGTGGCAGAAATATGTCTCTTCGGCGCATTATTTATGCGAAAATCACTTCGCGTAACTTATGAAGTATCTTTCTTTCTGAACACCAGTTGCCGCTAGAAATGATACCAATATGATCATCAGCACGATACTATTGATCGCTGTGTTATGCTTAATGGTAATTAACGGTTTGTTGTATTATAAATTGTGGGGACTCGAAGAAGCTGCTGCGTATACTATTATGGATCTACACGTATTAAAGTGAGTGTGTCGCTATTTTGTATGTGGCAGAGAAGAGTAATGTTTACTTTTTCAGAAATACACCAAAGACTGAAGAAGATTGGATCAATCTTTTGCAACAGCAAGAAAGTTTGCACAATGTAGAGATGAGAAAATGGCAGAGAGTTCTGCATACAGCTGCACAACTGCTTAGACAGGTAAGATTCAATCTGCTGTAAATCTATATATATATATGGATTCGACATTTAAACTAAGATATCTTATGTTTGATTTAAAAGACAGAGGAATCTTTAACGGAGTTGCAAATGAGCATCCATCCTACAGCAACAGAAAAGATGTTCTCTGTATTGAAACCAAGCTTGAAAAGTGCCGACTCACGTACAGAACGGCGAAGCAAGACGGAAATGTAAGATACCTCTTGTGCAATTGTAAGAATCATGTGTTTTGCGCATAAAATATGGTTTCGCAAATATCATTGAATTGAAACACTCAAACTGACCTCACGCAAACCATCTACAAACTGCTAAAATGTGTATTCTTCCTATTATCCTATCATTTTAAAGTTGTTGATAGTTCCCGTGCGCTATATGACGTACAGTTTTATTGAGCGACTACTGCGTGTACAGTTTTATTGAGCGACTATAGTAATTGTGGTGATTTTACTGCGGGAGACAGAATGGTGTGCAAAAAAGTAGTATGTAGAATTTATTTAACTAATGAAATTTGTGATTTTAGTTTTAGACAGACACTTTATTCAGGGTCAGTAATATATATATTTCAAATGACAAATTGTGACGTTAGAGACCAGAGAACTAATATACGCAGGAGTTAGAAATGTTCGACGTTAAAAGTTCACTTGCCGCATTTATGCGTTCTCCATTCCGTTCGTTACAATCTTGTACTCACATTTTCCGAATATATTTATTTGGGTAATTTAATAAGTACATATACATCATGTATAATATCCAATTGGTACGAATGCAACAGACGTAATGCAGACCCCTTTTAAATAGTCAAACACGATCCTATCCACGTGTATGTTTAATTCGTTTATTCTCTGCATTGAATACAGGTGTTTATGTGCTTGACATAATACGTAATATTGTTCTTGATTGAAAAATTTCAATAGTTCAAGTTAAGTAATAAAGAGTCAAGAGTAGGTAATACAAAATATATATTTTTTTAAGGTTTAACAATTTTGTCACTGTGTCTTTAGCTTCCTCTATGGAATAAAATGGCTATATGACATATTGTTTCTCTAACGTAATGTTTGGAATTAGATGTTCTCTGCTAAACTGTCGTTAAAATATTTTCCTTGCTTATATATATATGCACAGAAATTCTTATTTTCATAAATAATTTATGATTATATATATATATATATAATTATTTAACTAAATTATATATATATATATATATATATATATATAAAATTTAGTTAGGATGGATATATATATATAATGACAAACAGAAAATGTAATATTTAAGTATTTATAAAAATAAGAATTATTGTATTTTAACAAAAAAAATATTTTAGCAGAAGGTACGATTCCAGCATGTTTCTTATATGAGGACACTCCTGAAACATCTTATGCACGATCAGCAGCTAGACCAACAAAGCTGAAGGGGTTAAGAGGGGAATAGTAGACGTCGTTTTAGAAATCTGCCCGAAATGTGCATCTAATTCCAAGTATTTTTTTAATGGATAGGCTACTTTATATTTCAAAACGGCAAGTTTAACTTCCTTTTTTGCTCAAAGAACGCGGTTTTCCAACAGTCTTTCGAACTTTCAGATGTCCACCTCGTAGTTCAGATACTCTCGTTGCATTGTATTCCGATTCAGTTATAAAAAATTTAATATTTCGCTTTAAAAGTAAAAAAAAAAGTGTAGTTTGCGATGATGGATCGAAAGTCAAGTTGTGAAAATACGTTCACGCACATCAACAATTTTCTGCGACATCTCTCACCTCTAACATCGTAATTTAAGATGCCTGACGTAGTCATCGGCAATCCTTAATGTCAATAGTTTAAGTATTTAGCGTATGATATATTTGATGTAAGCATTTAAGTATTACGAGGTGAATGTTATGAAGAATAATAGATGATTTTTAGAACGATCCTCGTGTTGAAATATTTCAAGAATACCTTACATCTCTCTTCCAGAGCAATTAATTTCGATGTAACATTAGTAGAATTTAAAAAATATGTTTGAAGAAATGGTGATATATACTGAAAAGTACACGTCTGACAAATTAAATTTAATTAAAAGAAACGGAGCAATGAAAGATAATATTTACATATTACATATGTAGAACTTTATTTTTTTATTTATCGTCCGGTTTGTTAAAAACAAGAGTATATCCGCATTTTCCGCAATAATGCCGGTCTTCCATTGCGGCCATAAATACACCTGCGCCGCATTGCTCCATCGGGCATTCCCGACGCAAACGATGGATTTTGCCGTTTTCATCCACCTGTAAAACGTATTTTACAATATATTTAGACATTTCGCGACTCAATAATAAAAAGCAAAGAACTAGTCGAAAATAAAATAGGCAGATGGTTACCTTGTAATACTTCAGCACAGCAAGCTTTACTTTCTTTTTTTTGTGCTTGATTTTTTTGGGGGTGGAGTAATTTTTCTTCTTGCGCTTCTTAGCACCACCTCGCAAGCGCAACACTAGATGAAGGGTCGATTCTTTTTGGATGTTGTAGTCCGATAAGGTCCTTCCATCCTCTAATTGTTTACCAGCAAAGATTAATCTTTGTTGGTCAGGTGGAATTCCTGAAACACCATATGGGACGTTTTGTTTAGAACTTAATAATAATTTACATTTAGATTCTAACAACATGCGAAAAGCTCGATGAAAATATGGTTTGTAAGAAACCTCACCCTCTTTATCTTGAATCTTGGCTTTAACATTTTCAATGGTATCAGATGCCTCAACTTCAAGGGTAATAGTTTTACCCGTGAGAGTTTTCACGAAGATTTGCATGATTGGTGGATTCTGTAACATATTGTATTTTCCGTTTATGTCATGTAGTTTATCAAACTGAAATCTTGAAATCCGATTTGAAGCTAGAGCTAAAGAAAACGACACGCCGTGTCTCAGACGCCTAAACAAAACACTTGTGTCCTATATACGCACATTATATACTTATACTTTGATGTAAATATGGGCGCTGGTAATTCCACATAAAGGAGATACTTCTTTTTTTTCAAAATATTTTTATTTATGAAACTATCGATACATCAATAACTTAGACATTTATTTAACTAACAATTGTATATTCGTAATGGTTTATACAAGCAAAACTGCGTTGATACATCCATCATTCTCGGGATTATTTGTAACTTGCGCGTATTTGCCCCACACGACTTTGCCCGATTGCGTGACGAGACCCAACTCCGAAATATTTACTTCGATGACAGTTCCCTTTGTGATGACGCCCAAGCTTGTGTACATAGGAGAACTGGGATTTTTCTTGACACCGATGATCGGTAGAGAGAATGTCGCTTTCAACTCGGGATGAGTGACGTGCGCAGTTTTGAATCTCAACGCCATTGGTCTGATGAATCTCTCGAATTTGGGCGGTTTCCTCGTGAAGTTTTCTCCAACGAAAGTCACTTTGGTCACCATTCTCTTCCAGGATTTCCGCTTTGACTTGCCGGTTCTGATTACTTTGAAAACTTCCGACTCCGACTGCGCTCTGACTTTGGGTATTGGAACATCCCATTTGCCGACTTTTTCCTTGCGTTTCTGTTTGATCATGTTGGACAATACTTTCGCGCGTTGGGTCACGTCGCGATCCAACAGATACACAGGTAACGCTCCTTCTGGCAGCTTGTCAGATTTCTCCTTAATCTTCCTCTCTTCATGGGCCTTGATCTTTCTCTTCATCTGAATTTTCTCGTTGCGTCGCTCCTTATTGAATATTTTGGCCTTGATACCGCGCAAGCTACGAGCTTGCTCGGCCCGTTTGTGAGGCGCGCGAGCCTCCCTCTTCCTCTTTCTTTCCTCATAATCCAAGCGGCGACCGTAGAGTTTACGATGCCTCTCGATATACTCGTTCTGTGGCATTTCTCTATTTGATTTTTCTTCTTAGTACTCCTTAAAAGAGAAATCGTTACTTGAATAACAAGTCTGAGCAATTCTGTGTAAATTCATTAGGAATTGCGCTTTATTAGACTAGATCTGTTCTTCTTAGCTGAACCAGATTGCACTTTTCGTCTTTAGAATGAAACAAGTATACAAGGATAAGAGATGAATCCAATATTAGATTTAATCTTATTTTTTTAAATTAAAGAATATATAAGAAACTAATTATGTAATTGAAGTTGCCATAAGAAGTCTGTTTGCTTTAACTGCATAAGGTTGCAGCCTTTGTTTTTTTAAATGAGTATATGAGCATTTTCTATTTAGCAATACATGTGACATAAATATTATTCTATTTTTGTTACTTATTGATCATGAGACAAAAACAGAATAATGCTTACATCGATTTGTTATTAAATAGGAAGTATCTGATCTAATATTGAAAGGAGAAAAAACAAAATTCCAATGTGGCACTAGTTTAGCTAAAAAGAACAGATATGATATTTATCCCCCTCCAATGACAATTTATTTCTCACACACTTTCATCTAATGTGAGAAAAATAACAGATATTTTAGAATATATAGTTAAATAGTTAAACTTAATCTAACATTGAAAGAAAAAGAAACAAAGTTCCAGTGCAGCACTAATTCAGCTGAAAAGAACAGGTTTACTGATTCTCACAGCAAATAGGTTATAAGATGAAAATGTTCAAATATATCATGTACCTACCTAAATATTTCGTCCAATTATTATTTGTGATATGTATTGTATAACACGTTTTACAATATATAAATAAACAAATGTACAATAGCAGGGTTGATATAGGTTATTTCACACTACGATATTTCGTCTACAACATTGACTTACAGAGCAAGGCTCGAGGTGGCCAAAGAACATGGAAGCCACCGATCCTAACCTAGGCAAGCACTATGAAACGAAGATAATCTTGTAGATATTCGTATGATTACATCATATCTATCGTTGAAATAAGTCGCGATCAAGTGTAATTTTGCGATTCGTTCAGTTAATCGTAATATGCGTGTTGTAATAAACGTATGCTTGCTTCAACAGTACTTGCATGTTGTCGCAATCGGCCACGTGCCGAGTGCGACAAGGCATGTATTCTTGAAATAGTTGCATATACGTAAGTTTTATTGCACAGCTATAATCGTATCATAAATAACTATGCAATAAAACGTACGTACATGCAATTATTTCAAGAATATGGGCTCAGGTACTCTCTCCACATTGTGAATGTAAAGACAATGATATACGCCACATACTCGAGAAATTCGACATCTTTTACGATATATTGCCGAATTAAATATAATTTAATAGAATCCAACTCTTACTTTCTACAAATTATAAGAAACCAAATCTCAGCTTACCTCTACCGCAACGTGCGAACACGAAAAGAAGCAACGAAAACCACGATTCAGCAGCCTTATTTTGTAACCTCCTAACGACAATGTCACTAGCATAGCTATGTTCCGAAATTCACTGCCAATACGACGAACATACGACGAACAGTTTGTGTTACGTATCCTATAGATTTACTGACACTGAATATCAGAACGTACATATTTTAGCATTAAGGTCAGAAGGTTAGCCACGTATTATACTGGGATATTATACTTTGTATTATACACTGTATTATACAGTATAATACATCTAGTTTTATATATATTATATTTCCTGTGGCGCCATCTCTTCCGGTATTCACAGTATTGAAAATCTATAGTTTATGTCACGTATACTATAGATTTTCAGTATTTGCAATAAATATCAGAATGCAGACTTTATAGGGAATTTGCTAGCGTCATTACTATTATTCTAAGTTCCATATTTTGAACTCTCTTTTATCGCTAAAAGTGTTTCTAATGATGGCTCCTGCACACAGGACGCGGAGTCGCCGTGCGCTCGGGATCGCGCCAGAGATGTCGCTTCCGAACGGCATCTCTGAGCGTTATCTAGGGCTGCGTTCAGATTCCCCACTTGGGTATATTCTATTACTAGAAGTGCTATAGTATATGTGACATATATTATAATGTTTCTAGTAATAGAGTGCACCCGGATGAGGAATCTGAACGCACCCTAGGAAGAGGAGAGTGTCGTGAGCGTGAAGCGTCAGGTAGCTCAGTAGTTTAAAGCAGTCGTCCGGCAAACGAAAGACCCGGATTCGAGTCCCGGCCTAGCAGGACCGCGCTCTCGATATTTTTCTCTTTCTGGAACGAAAACGATACGCAGATCTCGAACGCATGGCGCCCAGCCGCCACCTAGGGGTGCGTTCAGATTCCCTACCCGGGTGCACTCTATTACTAGAAACACTATAGTATATGTTACATATACTATAGCACTTCTAGTATTAGAGTGCACCCGGGTAGGGAATCTGAACGTACCCTAGTATGCCCTCCTCCTTCTATCGTAAGAGCTATAGGGTTATTACGGAAAGCAGCATATTGATTGGCTGTCGCGCGGACTTCCGCCGCGCGGCAAGCATTACCGCATCCTATGTGTAAGAGCCATAAAAGTAGCTGATAGCCAATCACAAAGCTTATAAAGCCATTTTTAGAGGTGTTTTTATCAAGTCTGTTCTTTTTTGTTGCACTGTTGCAATAAACGAGAGACAAACATATATTTGTTTCACTCCAACTTATTTCAGCAGTACAGGACTGCGTTCAGAAATCCTACTCGATTAGTAGAATAACATTTAATTGGCCAATCAAGGCAAAAAAAACTAAAGCCAGCGGCACACGATGCTTGTTTTCATGCTGGATAGAAATACTCTGTTCTGATTGGTGCATTTCTGAAGACGGACCAATCAGAATAGAGTATTTCCATCCAGCAAGCAATCCTAGATATTACATGTTTTTATATGTATTTTACTGTATAATGTAAAAAAACCCTAGAAAATGCTCGAAAAACCCAACCCTGGTTAGGGTGCGTTTAGATGGAGAAAAAATAGCGGAAATAAATAGTTACGGAAGAGATATGGTGGGGGTCAGCCAAACAGAGTAATTCCGTTTTTATTCCGTTCTGTTGTTTGATAGGTAGGTTTCACATGGCACAGAACTGTTACGGAACGGAACAAAAAACGGAAAACATTCTAATCTATCAACATCGAAAATTGTAAAATTTTACACATATACATATTATATATTGTGCCTATATAGAACTTTATTTTTTTATTTGTCGTCTGGCTTGTTAAAAACAAGAGTATATCCGCATTTTCCACAATAATGCCGGTCTTCCATTGCGGCCATAAATACACCTGCGCCACATTGCTCCATTGGGCATTCTCGGCGTAAACGATGGATTTTGCCGTTTTCATCCACCTGTAAAACGCGTTTTACAATATATTTAGATATTTCACGGCTCAATGATAAAAAGCAAATAAAGAACTAGTCGAAAATAAAACAAACAGATGGTTACCTTGTAATATTTCAGCACAGCAAGCTTTACTTTCTTTTTTTTGTGCTTGATTTTTTTGGGGGTGGAGTAATTTTTCTTCTTGCGCTTCTTAGCACCACCTCGCAAGCGCAACACTAGATGAAGGGTCGATTCTTTTTGGATGTTGTAGTCCGATAAGGTCCTTCCATCCTCTAATTGTTTACCAGCAAAGATTAATCTTTGTTGGTCAGGTGGAATTCCTGAAACACCATATGGGACGTTTTCTTTAGAACTTGATAATAATTTACATTTAAATTCTAACAACATGCGAAAAGCTCAATGAAAATATAGTCTATAAGAAACCTCACCCTCTTTATCTTGAATTTTGGCCTTAACATTTTCAATGGTATCAGATGCCTCAACTTCAAGGGTAATAGTTTTACCCGTGAGAGTTTTCACGAATATTTGCATGATTGGAGGATTCTGTAACTGTAACATATTGTATATTATCTGTTTGTCATGTTTATCAAACTGGAATCTTGGAATCCGATGGCAAATACCGCGAACGAGAATAACCTTGATATTCATACGATTACATTATTTCTATCGTTGAAGTAAGTGATAATCGAATGTAATTTTTGTGATTCGTTAATTGCAACATGCGTTGCAACAATGTTTGTTTCAATAGTACTTGCATTTTGTCACAATCGGCCACGTGTCAAGTGCGGCAGATATTCTTTCTACATTGTGAATGTAAAGGCAATGATATGCGCCACATATTCGAAAAACTCGACATCTGTCGCCGATATATTGCCGACATATGATGATTCACATCATGACACATGATAATTCACAATACAATTTCGTAAAATCCAACTTTTATTTTCTCCAAATTGTAAGAGTCTCAACTTACCTTTGCTACAGCGTTGCATAAACACGAAAAGAACTCTCTCTCTCTCTCTCTCTCTCTCTGGGTGCCTTTTCATGTAGCGAAGAAAGTTACTATATAGTACGCGTATCAAGTGCACGATGTAAACCAAGCCATTGTAGAGCGTGACTAAAGGGCCATTTACAATGGAGCATTGTATGTCATAAGAAATTGACCAATCACAATCGATTATTCTTGTAATAATCTAGTATGATTGGTCAATTTCTTACTGCTATGGCGTATGATTTTTCATTGTAGATGGCTCTTAAGACTCATCTGCTATAATTCTTGACTCCCTTCTATACATTCTCTATGATTCATGTACGAACGTTTTCACACGCACGCCACCATCTTATTACTTCTTTCATTTTACATTCATCTTTCTGTGAGGTATGTAGTACGAGATCAAAATTCCGAATTTTTATATTACTTTATGTTTATTTGACCAACTGATAAAGTGATCAATTCTTATTACAGTCTACAGAAAAATCATCAGTTGTAAAAATGGTAGCCCAGAAAAAACAGGTAAATTATATTCTTACCGCATCTTACTCGTACCACGTGTTCGTTTCTACACATTTTTAGTAGAATTCAATATAAAATAATATTTTTCAGTATTTTTTTACTATTAATATTATTTTACTTTAAACTGTGCTAAAATGGAATGTGTATGATTCATATCTATTTATTTTTTAATAATTTATATTCAATAGCTTTTATTACAATCTCTTGCACTATTTTAAGTATGCTAACAATAATTTATACATATTAAATAAAATATGTTTTTGCTTTATTCAGAAAAAAGCTCAGGAGAGCATTAACACTAGATTAGCACTAGTTATGAAATCTGGCAAATACGTCCTTGGTTACAAGCAAACCTTGAAGTCTCTTCGTCAGGGCAAAGCCAAATTGGTCATCATTGCAAATAATACGCCGCCGTTGAGGTGAGACTGAGAAGTAGTACTCCTTTTGTAACAACAAATTGACACGATTTTTTTTATTACAAGTATATTGATAGTCATTTTTTAATGGACATTACAAATTTAAATTGAAATCAATTTTTGTAGTAAATTGTGTATAGTTATATTTATAAAAATAAATACAAAATCCTGGAATCGTGTATTCAAATATCCTAATTGAAGTTGCATCGATTAGAACTAGTGACAACTATCATGTCAATTTGTGCATTAAGAATTGAAGGGGAGTTCTACGGAGTAGTCTCCTTGCCCTTGCTCGTAAGTGCACAGGGCATAAAACTTGTTATTTATTCATCTTTCAAATGTATTTTATTTAAATTTAACAGGAAATCGGAGATTGAATACTACGCTATGTTGGCGAAGACTGGCGTGCATCATTACACGGGTAACAATATTGAATTAGGAACAGCCTGTGGAAAATATTTCCGTGTTTGCACTCTTTCAATCACTGATCCTGGCAATTCTGATATTATAAAGTCTATGCCAACTGGTGATCAAGCGTAATGTGTGTTTTTAATTTAATAAATAATTTGAAAATCTGAAATCTACTTTGTTTATTCATCATCTATGTTCTTGCATATGTGCGATATTCTTGTACACGTATCTAAGATTCCGCTACATAAATAAGTTACATTTGAACTTGGAAAAAAATAATTTTTTAAATATTAGGAAATATCACTATTGTTAACTTCAAAACTAAAAATATTTTTACAACTGGGTGTATATCGCCCACAGGCAATAAACTCATTGGACTGTCGACTGCGTTCCGACATGCGACTTCGGCAAATGGCGTGTGTAGAACCGGCCTAATGGAGGATTTACACTGCGCTGGCCTGGTACCTGACGTACAAGATACGATATCCAATAGTCAAATTTCTTTGCTAGAGTTTTTAGTTAGCAACATTTTTGTCTCCAGAAAACCAATTCTCCTATTGGATATCGAATGTCGAACGTAATGTGAATCCTCCATAAGTTGCCTAACTGTAAGATCTATTGAATAGAGATATCGCAGCTGTATTTTGATGGAGAATATGCAACCATACTAATGCGAAATGATAAGATAAGCTACGAAATAATAAAATGATCTTTGATTTTGAATATTTAGGTAGGATGATAGCTAATTACATATATCAATTGTATTTAATTATTATTAAATAGCAAGTGTTTATAGTGCCAGTGAAATTTCTTGCTCTTTTTTTATATAGTTTCATATACACATATGTTCTATTACATAAAATATAAAAATACAAATAGCAATTTTTTCAATTAATATTACAATATATATATGTGCAGATATTTATAATTTGCATATTGTGTGTATATATATATATATATATATATATATATATATTTGAAATTTATTCTTTATTGCAGACAAATTTTTAAAATGGAACTTAAATGTGCATTTCAAACATATGATTGGGGAAAACGTGGTATTAACAGTATCGTAGCAAATTTGTTGAAGACAGCTAATGCTGATTTTGTGTTGGATGAGCAGAAGCCGTATGCAGAATTATGGATGGGCACTCACCAGAATGGTCCATCGCATCTCAAAAACATGGAAATTTCTTTACAGAAATATATCCAAGAAAATACTAATGTACTAGGTAGTAATATAGAAATACGAAACTTTGGTATTGACTTACCTTTTCTCTTCAAAGTTTTGTCTATAAATAAACCTTTGTCCATTCAAGTACATCCAGATAAGGTAATAATGGGACCTTTTCTTTTTATTTTTAGGAGTATATATATATATATATATAGCACCTTACGATTAATTATGACTTCTAGGAAAAAGCAGAAGTGTTACACGGACTGTTTCCAGACGTCTACAAAGATCCAAACCATAAACCAGAACTTGCAATAGCTCTGACTCCTTTCAAAGCATTCTGTGGATTCCGTCCAATCAATGATATAAAAAAATATCTGGAAGAGTTACCAGAGCTATGTGCTGCAGTAGGAGAGACTAATGCACGTCAGCTACTGAAAGCGAATAATTCTTTAGTCACTGATGCTTTAAAAAAGTGTTTTTTTACTCTTGTAAATCGTGATTCTGTAATGCTCTACATTACACAATTGTTAGAAAGATTGGAGAGGAAAGGTACATATCTCTACATGTTCAGTAAAACTTTAAATTTTTGGAAGAATCATATTTGTTAGATAAGTGCAATAATGTGCAGTTGTTCTTAGATGATGTTTATAAGAAATCACTGAATTTTGATTTGCTGAAACGCTTGCACGCTGAGTTTCCTGGTGATGTGGGTTGTTTTGCAGTGTATCTGTTAAATTATATTACTTTACAACCAGGTGAAGCCATATACATTTCACCAAATGTAGTTCATGCATATCTTTCTGGTGGTGAGTCGTTAGATTCGTTTAAAATTCGATGTGTAATATGAACGTTTATACTATGTAATAATATATTTTCTACATGAACTTTTTACTTTTGCAGATTGCATAGAATGCATGGCATGTTCAGATAATGTTATAAGAGCTGGTTTAACACCTAAACAAAAAGATGTGCCAAATTTAATGCAAAATATGGCATTTGATTGCTCGTTATCTTCTATCCAAAAATTATTACCGTATCGGGAAGATTTATATACCGAAGTTTTTCGTCCGCCAGTGTCAGAATTTGCAGTTGCCAAGATCACAGTGAGTTTTCATGCATTTGATATTGGTCGTAATTATATTTCTTGATATGATATTTATTCTGAATATTTCAGATACCACCTGGGCAACCATTTTATAAACTAATAACTAGAAACTCGGCCAGTATTTTGATAATAGTGGATGGCAAAGGGAATATATCTTCCAAAACCTATTGTCGTGGCTCTGTTCTATTCATTCCTGCTAATGAAGAAATAAAAATTGAAGTTTTATGCTTCTGTCACCCCATGTTGATGTTCCAAGCATTTGTAAATGTTTGAAAAAGTCGGTTAACATATACCTCCGTACCGACTGACAAAATGTAAAATATGACTAATATAGTCATTTTGACATATTTTAAATAATTTTCGGCCTATTTTGGCTCTACAGACAGGTATCAAATTTTTCTAATTCTAATGAATTTATACAGTTTTTTTCCAAGACACAAATTCAAATGTGTGTTTGTGAATCCTATTGTTTAGAACTTTTTCTATAGAAATTTTATTGATCAATATCATTAATATATTGTATTATATACTTTATTAAATAAATCTAGTGTATGTATAAATATATATAAATATAAAAATAGAATAATAATCAATCATCCTCGGAGTCGTCGCCCTTCTTTGAGGTGTTTTCAGCAAGTTTTTCATCTTCTTTATAATGTCGATACTCTGGTTTTAATTCCCACATATTCCTATGTGGATTTTTTAAATTGTAATTACAAACTTCACCAAGTATTTCCTTCAAATAAACCTGCAAATTATCCAATGTAATAATGAAATAAAAATATAATTTTCAAAAAATATATTAAACATTATATATGTGTAAAGCGACATATACTTACAATAGGTTGCCTAGTGATTTTCACAAGATCCCTTATATTATAATACTGATGTTTCTCAAATGCTGCAAAAAGCATATCAAGCACAGCATCCTTGTCATCTCTCATCTTCTTTCCCTCTGCCTTCTTTTTCTCAGCATATTCAATCTATAAGACATACTATTATAAGTAAAAAAAATACTTAGTCTCCTCTAAGGAGTCAGAAAATTAAGCTTACATTATGTTTGTGGTCAGATACTGGCTTAAAGTTCTGTACTACTCTATCTAACTGCTGCACTTGTCTTTGTGGCACAGAAGCTCTCTTAATACTTTCCAATTTTAACTTCATATAACAATTATCAGCTAAAAGAAAAATCTATTAGTAGAAAATATCTAAAAAGAAAAACCCATATTTGTCTTTATACAATATTTACCATATGGTCTGCATTCTAATTTCTGCACAATTCTTCCTTCCATGAAGAGCTTTTCTGTTTCTGGCACAATTAAATCTGAGTTTGTGGATGCTGCAAAATTAAGAAATATATTTATGAGTACTCTAGAATACTTTTCTCTCTCTCTCAAACATAAAAATTGCATTAAACTTACGAGCAACATGAGAAAACACTCCCAGTATCTGCGTAGTAACTGTTGCAACATCTAACCTATGTTGCTTTGGTATTTCCTCTTCTCCAGATTCTTTCAAAGCTAAGACAGCCTCTGATAAACTGAGAGACACTTCAGCCTTCTGTCCAGGATTTCTTGAAAAAAAGAAATAAATATAACAAATCATAACTAGTAAGAGAACAATTGTTTCTATTTTTATTTTTTAGTGAATGCAAACTTACTTGGTTATCTTTAACTTGCCAACTTCTATATTACCAGGTGCTTTTTCCCACTTGTTAGCTATATATTTAGGTACTTTGACAAGCCACACACCACGGCCAGCATTACTCAAATCCAATTCTTTTTCCATATGTGTAACGTTGGTGGACATTATGGTTATTCTCCTCAACTACACCACTACGTGGAAAAAGAAAGTCTTTTGTCGAAGATATAGTTAAAAACTTTTATATACTATTGAAACTATTATAATTTATATAAACCACTGAAAGTTCTTCTATTATCTGTTTTTACAAAAATGCTAAAACTAAAAACTCAAATTCCTCCGTACAACCGACGATACACTTTCAAACACTGCTATAAAATTATCAGATACGCTTCTTCTTATTATTATTATTATTTTACTTGGACTCAGACTTATATCTACTGTTCTTTCATCAAAGGTACTGAGGTACAAATTCTAAATAAATCAGGTTCGAACGTGTTCGAACGACAGTTTTAACGTAATGGCAATAGAATCTATTGTTTATGGGTGCGTTCGTTTTGGATGCTCACATTGGCTGCATTCAGCAGACTCAACAGTTGCACAACAGTTGAGTAATTTGTCAATGTAATTGGTCTAGATTTAGGGATCTAATAGCAAGAACCAATAATCGTTGATTGCTCACTGAGCGCTTTTTCTACTGAATGCGCCCATAGGCTGCGTTCCGTTCACGCATATGCGCGCATTTATCTATAGTTCATGTTACGTATATTGTAGGCAATGCGCGCATAATGCGACAGCCAATCAGAAGCGTCAATAGCACTATTGATGCTTTTGATTGGCTGTCGCAATAAGAATTGAGTCTGCTTGCGATCGGGTTGCACCTAATGTAGAGCGACCTTTAGCGTCTACAATTTCTGTAAGAATATGGCTGTAAAGGCTCGTCTACAAGTCGTCTAGAAGTCGTAGAGTCGTAAGTTGTAGAAATTGACCAATTATAGTTGGGCTCGAAAAGAATAATCGACCATGATTGGTCAATTTCTACGACTTACGACTTCTATTGTAGATGAGCCTTAAGGCTGTAAGACTAAAAAACGCAACTATTTCAAGAATAAGAACCTTGGTTCCAAGAAATATATACATACATATATATATATATATATATATATATATATATATATATATATATATATATATATATAT